AATCTTTACATTTTTTTGGTCAGAATTAACAATAACGAATCAGCAAATGTTAAACTATATGATATATCAGCACACGCGGTATTTTTTGAACTTAAAAAAAAATGGCGCCATTGACTAGTGCAGTATCCGCTTCCTCGTTGGTCAAAATATGTCACTTTCAAGATGAGTTAGTTCCCAGATGTACCAAATGATATATGATTCTTGTCGATATATAACGGCATAAGCAACGAGATATATTAAGGTATTTGAAACTTTGTATAGTTTGATAGAAGTTCAATATGTCGGCGATAATTGAAGTAATCAAAGCGATCGTTGCGGTAATCATCATAAACAATAGAGGCAATTAGCTCAGCTCTCTTATGACGACAGTTAATTCAACCATTTCCGCGGCGACTGACAAACCTTAACTTTATTACTCACTCGTTTTGTAAATAATCCTAGCAATCGATTAGCGGGCAATAAACACTTTATCAGGAAATGATAAGAAACAGAAGCGCCTCCGGTATTCAAAAAGAAGATGCTTGTCCTGCCTGCGCTATACTATCTATTATATTTGAAGTGATTAGACTTAAAGTGGGTCAAAATTCAGGACTATGAAATACCATTAATATACTATGCAAGTCTTATATTTCACTAAACCTGTAACAAATTAGTTATAGTTAAATATTTGTGAAGCCACTTGTCAGTTAAATTTATCCGGGTCGTGGAACAAGAAGTTTCATAAACGTTTGGGGAACTATATAATAGCTTGACCCTGAAACGCATCCTTTATATTCAAGCGAATGAACCTGAAAGCCTAGCTGCAGGCGCAGTGCAATTGTGGACCAAGAACATATACGTACTTATATAGAAATCGTCTAACACCAAGAGATAAACATATCCCACCTGATACATTAAGACCGCGAAGACAAATTTACTTTAGGATGAGTAGAACGCGACCTTCATATCTTTCCACGCCATATGACTCATGTTATAGTCTTTTAAATCACAAAAATGTGTTTTCAAAACGCTCTAACGTCGTGATCACGCGCGACGTCTCAGACAACTTAACACTTGGCGTAAAGGTATATTTATTAATGAATACGCGGGTGAAATTCGGTAATAGTAAATCTTGAAATGTACTCACTCGATTGATGAAAGATTCGTAGCACTTCGTAGATGATCGTGAGAGGTCGGGGCCCAGTGGGCGCGCGCTGGGCGCGGCGGGGGGCGCCTGGGCGCGACGGGGGGCGCGGGGGCGCGGGGGCGGCGGCGCAGGTGCGCGCGGGCCGAGCGAAAACGCGCTACTGGAGCGCGCGCGGCGCCGAGGCTCGCGGGGTGATAACCGCTGATAAGCGACGCGTCACCGCATCGCCTAGATGTCGTAGCGCTAAAATGTCACCCATCATCTCGCATACATTCTCTACGTACAGAACAGAACAATTTATCACTAAGCTTACACTGCCAGTAAAATGACACTGAATAAGAGATTAAATTTTAGATTTTACTGATCGTTAAATGCTCATATATCCTACATGTAATATATTAGAAACCAGTATTAAATAAGTAATTAGTTAACTACAATTGATCATTTGTATTTACCTTACGTTATCATGTCTAGGTCGTCTTCGCTAAATCCTCTTATCACATCGCATTATTTTTAACTTACAAATTCTATGACTTATTAATAATCCCCTTTCATTTCAAAATTAAAAAAAATAAACGCGGTATGTTTTTTTAAGTCATCGCTATAAATTTTAAATCTTAGTAATATTATAAATGCAAATGTTTAGATGGATGGATGTTTGTTAGAGTTTGTAGCCTAACCGGCTGAACGGATTTCGATAAAATTTGGCATAGATGTAGAGGATAGTCTGGAAGAACATATAGGCTACTTACTTTTGTTTTTTTATTCC